TAAATAACAAAATACTAAAATTGCTAAATAATTACACAGAAAAATATTTAATTATTTCAATATTTCAATAACTAAATATTATAAATTCAAATAATGAATATTTTTAAATATTTTATATATTATTTAAATATTTAACATAACTATATTTTAAGTAGTTAAAATAACAAAATTATGCAATAAAATGGAAAAAAAGTCATAACATAATATTAAAAATTAATAATAACTTAATATTTTTACAAAATTAAAAATGAAATTATGAAACAATAGTATAAACTATAAAATAACTAATAAAAACACAAAAATAATTACAATAGATTTAATAATATTCATATTACTAATAGTTTTATATTTTTACAAATTTCATTACGAAATTATACACTAACAATATAAATTATGATATTCCATATTATTCAAATTAAATGTTATTCAAATAACAGAAATTTAACATTAAATAATAAAATCTTATTTCAATATTTCAATAACTAAATATCTTAAATAATTAAAATACAAAAAATAACTAAATAATTACATAGAAAAATGTATAATTATTTAAATATTTCAATAACCATATATCTTAAATTCAAATAATAAGTATTTTTAAATATTTTATATATTATTTAAACAGTTAAAATAACGAAATTATACAATAAAATAAAAAAAAAATATTAAAATAAAAAATCATAACATGATATTCAAATTAATAATAATTTAATATTTTTACCAAATTAATAATAAAATTATGTAATAATAGTATAAACTTTAAAATATTTATTAAAAAATAATAAGTATATTAGATTATTCAAATTATATTATTTATGTACAAACAATATAAATATTATTTAAAAAATAATAATTATATTATTTATGTACAAACAATATAAATTATGATTTTTCAGATTATTCAAATTAAATGTTATTCAAGTAACAGAAATTTAACATTAAAAAATAAAATATTATTTAAATATTTCAATAGCTAAATATCTTAAATATCAAATAATGAGTATTTTTAAATATTTTATATACTATTTAAATATTTCAATAAATAAATATTTTAAATAACGAAATATTTAACATAACTATATTTTAAATAGTTAAAATAAAGAAATTATGTAATAAATTAAAAAATCTAAAATAAAAAATCATAACATAACATTATAATTAATAATAATTTAAAATGTTTACAAATTTAATAATGAAATTATGTAATAATAGAATAAATTATAATTTTATATATTATTAAATTCAATTAATGATTAAAATATAAAATTTAAATAAGGATATTATTTAAATAATTAAATAATATTTTAAATAACCAATTTCACTTATATCAATTAATAATTCTAGAAAAATAACTTTCAAAAAAATAAT